TTTCTGTAACTCTCAGTCAGACTTCTGCACCTGTTGACAGGTATTCTGGTCCACTGCTCATCAGCAAAGGCCTCTCATTTATCTGGGACAGTTTTGTTTTTTAAAATGATTCTTTTCAACCACAATTCAAAAGCAATGTCTTATTTCACTAAATTATAATTTAGCAATTTTTTATTTATTATTACTTTTTCAGTTTCTAGTTATTTGAGTAACTATTGTGAATTTTGCCTTTCCTTAATGGAAGGGGATGAATACATTTGAGGACGACTGTACTTACTCTGCCTGTTGGCTTTAGGAAGATGTTTCACCATGCTGAATGGCTGAGTGTATCTTACAACAAGTTGCTCCTATTTATAATGTCTTCGAGCACATATTTTACTCATCAACTATGTTTTTTTTTTCTTCTCAATCTCCCTAGTTTGTCTGCTTTGTGTAAACATAGCCTGCAGTTCAGCCGAATAGTCCCTGACGTGCTGTTACTTGATTATTGCTGAGTCATGGTGCCTCAGTTTTCCTCCGAATTTTTTTTTTTTTTACTGTATCTGGCGCCCATTGTTCATTTATGGCACATTTCTAAAGGAGACGTGTAGATTAAAGTGATTTGGATGAAATATCTCAATTTGAGGCCAATTTTGTGCTGATTTTTCCAAACGAAACGAAAAGTCACTCATTAGTTCAACAGGCCTGAAAAGATAAAAATCCAGTGATTCCGTTTGTTTTTACAGTTTGTAGCTCTGATAAACCCGACGTGTGTTCCAGTGAGATGGCTGCAGATTCCTACTGGTTTTGCATAAATCATTTTTCTTTCATATTGTTTGTTTTGAGGATCTTTACTTTTGTTGGATCATGAAGCTTCGGTGATTTTCTTCCCCCCGTCGTGTATAACTGATCACAGTATCGCTTCATCTCCAGCTCTCTACAAACCCACTCTTACTGTAACGCTGACTCACTGGAAACCTGTTGACACAGATTACGCTGTGGTGTTTCATCTGAATCTGTCATCAGGTGATATTGATCTTGTGAATGTGTGTGATTTGTTTGTTAACGTGTGTGTGTGTGTGTGTGTGTGTGTGTGTCTCGCTGCAGGTCCAGACAATGAAAACCAGCCCCTTCAGCCTCTCTCCCACACAAGCTGGCAGCAAGGTGAGCCAGCTCAGACAGGCACTGTGTGTGTATGTGTGTGTGTGTGTGCATGTGTGTGTGCGTGTCTGGGTGTGTCTGTGTGTGTGTGTTAGCTTTTAGCAGCGTCATTGCTATAAATCTGCAGCAGTCAAGCCTTCTATATGACACATACAGCAAAAAGTTGAGCAATTATCTTTTCATCCATTTACAGTTTTCGCGCCTTTCTCTGTCCTGATGATGGACTTAAATGTTTGCTTATAACAAATAAATTTGCTAATGTTTCGATAGGATAAGATCAATCGATCGCTCACATGTTACAGCAGCTGGATGCAGACGAAGCATTAAAGAAACAGAACAATAAGTGCAATGAGGCTTAAAATAAAGATGTAACTCATATATAATAAAGACAGCGTAAAAGGCATGATGAGTGTACATATGGAGAAGTATGGATGTGACGTGTCTGTGTGTGTACGGTGCAATAAAACTGCTTTGTGTTTGCATAAAAAATAACAAAGCTTCCAAAAGTGCCGCTTAGTGTGCATCTCCACATTTAAAAAGACGATGATGCGGTTGTGTGGGAACATGTGTAACGTAAGTGGAAGCATCCAATATGCAAATCATGCAGCCGTAACCCCGCCCACCTTTCTGAGGAGAAACGAGTTGACAGAGGAGAGCAGAAAGGATAAAAAGGGATGTGACTGGGGTGACAGTGAGTGATCGACGTGAAGATGCAGCACAGTGCAGCCCTGATGGATGGGAAATGACAGGGCTGCGAGCAGGTAACGACAGCTGGGGGTCAGAGGTCAGCAGCTTTGGAATTTTTCTGACACCATGAAAACGAGGAAGATTGACTCGTCCTTTTGGACAGATGTCCGGCGCACGCTTCAATCTGTGAATCAGGGGTAAGAAGCAAGACAGAGGACGAGTTCACAAAGTCAAACAAAGGAGCATGAAGAAAAGTATTGCTGGGGGTTTTTTTCTCCTTCTCACTGCCATAGTGTGGTTTGTCTTCTCGTGCTCCTGCATTCTGAGAAACCTGTTTGTTTGCACTTTGAATGTATGGAACAAAGTGCTTATAACTTTAGCAACACTCATAATTATGCTGCTGCTGACGGTCGGCATCTTTCAAGTGCTTCTTAAATATGCGTCTGCGTGTTTTAAAACCTGTGCTTGTATGTGCGAGGGAAGGTCTAAGGTGATTTTCACACGAGCAAAACGACAAAAAAAATAATGTGTTAGTCAGCTTTTGATCTTATTGTTGTCCTTTAAGGTGTGTCTCAGTTTAATGAGCGGGAAACATTTTGGACTTGTAGGATTTGTGCACTGATTTGGTTAAAGGCTGCAAAATGGAGGAGGGTGTTTTCTAAACTTGTCAAAGCAAACAGACGTTTTCTCGCAGCATTGTGTTTAACAGCCTCTGATTTTTTTTGCAGGTTTAGTATCGCGCACTCATTCTCAGCTTGTGTGTGATTTTGTTTTTAAGATTATTTTTCTGGCATTTTACCTTCATTTGACAGGATAAGTAAAGAGAGACAGAGAAAGGTGGGAAGAAGACATGCAGCAAATGAGTCGCTGGCCGGACTTGAACCGTGGCTGTTGCGTCAGGGACTATAGCCCTGTACACGGGTCGCCATCTTAGAATAGAATAGAATACAATAGAATAGAACAATTCTTTATTTATCCCAGGCCTGGGAAATGACTGAAATTACTGTCTTATCTGGTTGAGCTACCGGAGCGCCCTTGTGTATGATTGTATAAAAGTTTCGTCTGAGGTGTAGCACCTGTTAAACATCAAGAAAAGTTTGATTATCGGTAATCAGACGGCCGAGTGTGCGCGTTTGCTCGGGGTTTTTGAGAGCGTGCAACTGTGTGAATGTAATGCAACCTTCGCCTCAGAATGCTAAAAGACATTTTGCCTTTGTGGTCTCCTGCAGGGAAAGAGCGAGGAGAGCTCTGAGATAACACACGGCGCTGTGCCTCCTCCTCTTCCGGCTCCTCCCTCTCAGCAACAGCAGCAGACTCAACACCACCACACACAGCTGATGCTCGCTGGCAGTCAGCTAGCAGGGGTGAGAGAACACACTCACACACAATCAGAACGTATTGTAGAAATTATGAAAATAGTTACTGTACTGAGTAGACTTGACCCTTTCAGACATCAGACGTGCACCTCTTATTCTTAACCTAGCATGTTTGAGTGAGCGCCCTGATAAAATTCACATTAACAGACAGACAGGTGCAAAATTACGAAGTTTTGCGACGTGATTTGGGGACTTTTTCCACAATTCAGCAACAATATTGGTCCAAAATCATCACAGCAAAAGACACTATCTACATGTCAAAATCACAAAACCCCACTTATCATTTACTTTGCACTGCAGTTTCACACCTATTCAAAACTGAAATATCCCAAAAATGTATTGTGAAAAAGGCAGCCAAGCCAGGTTTTGACCGAACATTAACAGGAGCTGAAGTTCAGTTTGTTGCTTCCGGCTGTTTGGAGGAGTTTTTCCTCTGAGTTTCTTAAATTCCTGCAGCTTTAGACAGCAACAGGATCCATGTGAGCATCTTGAAGAGCAGCAACTTCAGTAACTACTTTTCATCCGAAATTATCCATGGAAAGTGTCACACAGTTTACCGGCTGCAGATAAAGCTTTAGTTACATATCTGTCCTGAGCTCCATCACTGCTGTTCAGATATTTTTATTTTACTTTTATCATCACACATGGGTATTTTCAGTTGATATTTGAACTGGGCTGTTAGTTATTTGGACAGTTTAAAAAGCTACTACTAGTTTAGATTTAGTCTTTATTTAGGTTTATTAGCGCATTGTTGTACATCGCGTATGTGCCGTGTCTCTCCGTCACTGTGGTGAGTTCGTCAGAATGAAGCCATCAGAAACATTCATGACAAACTGACAAACTGCTGACATTTTAACAGGTTGTTGAAACCACAAACGTTCCAAATCTCGTGTCAGAAAAATACTTTATCATACTTCCCTATGTGGTGTTGTAAGCTTTAGTCTTGGACTATTTTAGTTTCAAACTGATCATTTAATGTGTCATCCCATATAATACAGAAAAGTCTCTCTTCACGGGACCGAGTTCCAGATGGTTTTAAACAAAACAAAGGCTTCAAGTTGCATATTTCTTAGTTGACAGACTGTCAAAACACTCCCTGCCTTGCTTTAGATTGTAGCTAAACTGCAATTTTTCTGATGGGGAACCCGAACATGAGAAACATCCTTGAATGCTTGAAGTTGTCCACATCTGCATCTAAAATAGAACAGAATTCCTTTTTTTGTCACTGCACAGAGTACAGCTACATTAAACGTCAATACTGCGTTGTACATTTACACAATCAGACAAAAAATAAGAATACAAATTAAAAACAGTACCAACAAGTGTAACCTATGAAAACAGTGGCAGTTATTGTTGTAAAGGTAGCTCAGTTGGTGCAGCAAGATTAAAATAGAAACACTGGTGAAACTGCACATTGTTGAACATTTAGAGAACAACATATTGATAATAAACATACAAGGTGCAGTTGTAACATTACTTTGCTGGTAAGAAAAAAATAAATAAAAAAAAGGTCAAACTCAGGAGTCTAAGGAATGACACAACAACATGCTTCAGTTCATAATTACACTGAGAATAATGTTGTGACACTAACAGTGTGTGTAGAAACCCTGAAGAACCTGCAGCAGGAGCTTCACTGTTTGCAGTCGAGGGAAATACCAAAGCTAAACGTTCCGTACATTAAGAGGGTGGCTTTTCTTGCTTGTCTTGCTCTGGCATGCTTTTACTGTCCGCTAACAGATTCACCTGCATCTCTGTTCCTGGAATGCTCAGCTGACACTGCTCTGTTCTCTCTCCTGACGTCGGTTGTGTCTCCACTTGGGTCTTCATTCTGTTCGTCCTTCACCTGATCGCTGTCGTCCTTTTCTCACGCCACACTTGTCCTGCATCGCTCCTTTCCCCGTCCCTTGTGCATGTCCGTACCTCGTCTCCCATCTCGTTACTTCCACCTCCTCCTTCCTCCTCGCCTTCCTCCCCCAGCTTGCCGCTCTCCTCCCGGCCCAGCAGCAGCTGCTCCTCCAACAGGCTCAGGCTCAGCTCTTGGCGGCGGCCGTCCAGCAGTCGAACGCCGCCCACGCCGCTCACGCTGCCCACGCCGCCGCGCAGCAACAAGCCAACCAGCAACAGCAGCAGCAGCAGCAACAGAGCCAATCGCAATCCCAGCAGCAGCAGCAGCAACAGTCAACCAAACAGGAGCAGACGGTCCAAGCTCCGCCTCCACAGCTGGCCCTGTCGCAGCCGATCCAGCTCACCGCACAGGTACGTCTGTCAGGAAACATAAGCACCTGTTTAGTAGTAGTGACTTACTGACGTTGATTTTACTGATATGTTTCACATCAGCAACTACACGTAAGTCTATCAACTATTTTACCAATTAACAGATTTATCCAAAAAAGTCAAAAAGTCATTTCATTCAAGTTCATTCATTTTGACAAACTGTGTGCCATTGTGCAATACAGCACAGTATGAAATGTAATTGTATTAAAGTTCAAATCTGTAGGTTTAAACTGAAACTTCAAAATGATTTCAAGAAATTAAAAAGGTGGCTTCTTTAGATTAGTGGTGGAGCACCAACTGTTTTCTATCAAACCACTGAACAAAGTTGCTGTGTGACTTTGGTAGTAGCTTTTTAACTGTATGAAAACAAACAGCCAAATTCACAGCACTGCAGGTATTTTTAACTTCTGGGTTTGATGAGTTTGTCACATGATGTTGTGGTTATAAGATTAGTATGTGAGCAGCGTGGAGCAGCTTTACTATTTCATTCTGTCGTCTGACAGCAGAAACAAAAAATATATGATTGAAAACAACTTTATTGGAAATTCAACTGTGTTAAAACACAGTATACGTGAGCACAGAGAGCAGGAGAGAAGCTAACAGATGTGAAGTGCCTCAGTGCTGAATAGCTCCTGTGTGTTTTCTCTTCAGGTTATTGTGCTGCTGTGCTATACCATCAAAACTCTGCACAGTTTACAAACCACCATTTTGTTCTGTGATAGTCTAAAGTTCTCATGCCACTCACATGTTCTTGGGTTTTTGGAAACGTTTACATTGAACCAATTTGAACTGCTGCCTCCATCGTCTAAAACTGTATCACTGACTGCAGCTGACCAATGACAGGAGCCGAAAACAACCGATGAGACAAAAACACAGTGACGCTAAAGAAGAGCATTCGTTATAAGGAACACGTGTTGACTGAAAGTATTGGCGTTGTTGCAATAAACTGAGTTTTCTGGTACATTTGCCCTCCTTTGCTCCTGCTCTGCACTGACATGTGTTTGTGTTGCAGGACATCCAGCAGCTGTTGCAGCTCCAGCAGCTGGTTTTGATGCCGGGTCATCCTCTCCAGTCTCCTGCCCAGTTCCTCCTGTCTCAGCCTGCCCAGGCACAGCAGCCACAGCAGGGTGAGGAAGTATATCTTTATTGCAATGATACAAGGATATTTACAATAATTACACACACAGTAAATCTGGACGGTCAAATATCATCCCTCTCTATGAGCACAGTGGCTTAGATGGTTAAAAATGTCTCGTTTTTTTTAATGCTGCAAAATATTCAGTGGATGTTTGTGCCCTTTTTTCCACATTTTATGTTTGTTATATAGGATTCCTGAGATCATTTCCAGGGGGTGTCAGATGAAAAAATAACGTGCTTTAGAGGGAGTGGTTCTTACATTACATCTTCTTTGCCAGTTATCTATACTTTTAAACAGAATTTACTGAGTGTTTCTGTTCAAAGTGTGGGTGCACATGAGTTTCTGATTGAGCAAAAAAGCTTTCATCATTCCGCTTTTGTGCCACAGTTTCACGCTTAACCAAGAACTCAGTCGCTAACCTGTTAATCTGTGGGGGTGGAAACTCGAGAAGTTTAGCTAATTTACTAATCTAACTGATATTTGGTTTGTTAACTGGTTTCTTTCCTTTCACAGGTTTGCTCTCGACACCAAATCTGATCCAGCTACCTCAGCAAAACCCAGGAGGACTCCTGACGACCCCACCTCGCCTGGGCCTCCAAGCACAGGTAGGAAGTCTTTCTTGTGAAGGAGCTTAACAACACCACAAATGGGACTTTATTTTTTTCATGTTAATCAAACAGTTATTAAATCTTTACACTTCAGGGTGTCAATCAGACTGTTAGTCATCATTGTCAGCCTTTATCTGCACAGACCACCTGCAAGATGCAAAACACACTCGTTTTGTTCTGCTTCAGTCGAAAGAAGCACCGAACCCCAAGTAGTTTCCAGACGTTTCTTTGCTCCTGTCACAATTTTAAGACAACACAACCATGCTTAGAAGCAGAATGAGCTTAGAAATGTTTTCTGTGCAGTAGGACAAAGTTTTAATGTCATAAATCACAAAAAAATGATCAAATTAAAGTAGAATTTCTTTATTTGTTTTACAAAAGTTTTAAAAAATTTGCCCACAGGTGTTGCAAATACTGAAAATAAACTGGGACTTTTCTTGCCATAAACCAACTATTTAACTAGAACTATTTATGCTTTTGCAACCTCTACAATCTAGGCCTGTATCATTCTCCTAGTTTTTTGGCCGTTGGGCTTTATTAGATAGGCAACTGAAGAGATGAAGACAGGAAAGTAGGGAGAAGAATGGGGAAAGGACCTGCAGCAAATAGCCGTGGGCAGGATTCAAACCCATGCCCGCTGCGCTGGGGACTATAGCCCCTATTTTTGGGTCGCCACCTCAACCAGTTGAGCTACCGGGGCGCCACTTTTTTGCGTGTTTTTGAACGAGACACGTAGAAAAAAAGCGTTTCTTTTATATCACAATTTCATGGTTATTTTTGACCATCGCAAAAATGGACCATCCAAGACCATCGCAAAATGGGAAATCTAAAGATTCTTCCTGTTTACAGATTATTAATCTGATAAATGGTTTCATTTTCAACATTTTAATCACAACTGTTCTCTCCTGCAACAGTCCTTTTTTCCTGTTTGCTCAAAGAAAAAAGGTCAAACTGAAACATGTATTTCCGTAGCATGTTCTTTACATAAAGGACCATTTGAATACGGACCTCATCGGAGCAGAAGCGCCGCCTTGGATCTTGATGATATATTCACCAACTGCTCTTCTTGCGTCCTCACCCTTCATCTTCTGTAATATAATGCATGAATGCCTCCTCACACATCTAGGGGCCGTTATAGATTTTTGATTAAGCTGTGATGAAGTCGTGTCAAACACAACGACAGGTGTGCCCTCTTTGTTCATGCATTTTATGCACACAGACGTGAATGTAAATGAGCCGTGTGGCAGCAGGTATCATGCATGATGTCTGCTCAATTAGCTGAAACCCCCAAAGCTCGCAGGGTCACAGCTTTGACATGCTACATATATGTGGCGTCTGCTGTCAGCTGACCTTGTGGGACGCCAAGGATGAATATGACATTTCTAAATATAAAATCACTGCATTTTTATCTCCTGTTTAGAATAAAATGCAGGCTATTTTTTTGTGCATGCTGCCCATCAAGTCTGTATAATTTAAGGAAACCAAGGTCAATTTTTTTTTTATGCATGTTTCCCAGCTGATTACCTCATATGTATTCACTAACAAGTTTATTTATATTCCTCGACAGTAAAAATGCATTTTTGTTAATATTGTCAGTGCCTTTGCAACCCTACATCAGATTACAGTAGTAAATTTCAAATATGATGATTCATTTCATTTCTTGGGCCTCACATGCTCAACCTCAGCACATAAAAGCATTTACATATTTACGTATACATATTTAAATAAAGCCTGTATGCACTCTTTGTGTCACTTCCTGTTACAGAGGGAGAAGAGCAGTGATGCTGGAAGCAGCAGTGCAGGCTCTTTAGTTGCCGGCGGAAGCAGCGGTGTTGGTGTTGTGACATCTGTAGGAGCTACCTCTGCGTCCAGCAGTGCCATCGCTTCCTCTTTAACCTCGGGTTTGACTGCTGGAGGTCACGGAGGCCACATGGGGGAGGAGCCCAGCGACCTGGAGGAGCTGGAGCAGTTCGCCCGCACCTTCAAACAACGGCGCATAAAGCTGGGATTCACCCAGGTAAGGAGAAGACGGGAGAGTTTGCATACTTAAGTGTGTGTGTGCGTTGGTGTGGTCGACTGATGTTGTGTCTCCATCAGGGCGACGTCGGCGTGGCTATGGGCAAACTGTACGGCAACGACTTCAGCCAGACCACCATCTCCCGCTTCGAAGCCCTCAACCTGAGCTTTAAGAACATGTGCAAGCTGAAACCACTGCTGGAGAAGTGGCTGAGCGACGCAGGTGAGTCTCTAAAACGGTCCTGGATGAAACACAACACTGATGTCTGTTGGACGGTTTCTCAGTCAGCAGCTTTTTAAAAAACTGTTTATTGTAAAACTCAGTTTAGGATGCTTTGTTTTTGATGGAAATCTCTTTAACCCGTAGAGCCTGAGTGACACACTTTGCATCCAAATACACATCCCTTCTTTTTTGCTCTTGAAGTATTCACTGCATTTATGTGTTGAGCATTAAATGAAACTGCACAAACGTTTTCCTGGTTTGCCACCTCTGCCAGGAGGCTACTGTATGTGAACTCTTACGTGAATAAAGTAATGACATTTATTTCCATTTTTCCTAATATCTAAGTCAGTAAGCATCCCACCATTGTGGTTCTGATCTCCCCTACATAATTATGAAAACAGATCTCTACTGCAAATATTTTAAAGTGAAATACATGTAAAAGCACAACAACATCATCCTGCAAAATTAGTTTTTCTTAAGACAAAGGCTAATATAAAGAATCTGCAGGCATTAGCTTATCAGACAATGGAAGGTCTGTATGACCTACACTGTTCTGAAACAAAGCTTGAAGGTGAAGGTGGTACATCTACTCTGAATGTAGCCTCATAGGATTAACTGAAGGCTTCCAGGTCTTGTCTGTAACAAGTTTCAGTTTGCTAGCAGATCACTGCAAATCTTTTTCTGTTTTTTTCTACCTTCTCCGAGTCTTTCTGTGCTTCTCTTCACCTGCTGTCCTGCTTCTCCTCATGTCTTTCTCTTTGCTTCTCCTTCGTTCTCACCGTCCGTCCGCCTCTCTGACAGAAACCATGGCTGTGGACAGCATGCTGCCCAGCCCCTCCTCCATCTCCTCCCCCATGTTGGGCATTGAGGGTCTACCAGGCCGACGCAGGAAGAAACGCACCAGCATCGAGACCAACGTGCGAGTGGTCCTAGAGCGCAACTTCAGCACGGTACGAGACTGCTTTTAACACCAGCAGAACGGAAAACTCTGTGTGTGTTTGGGACCTGGGCACATTAGCACAAATACGAGGAAGAAGAGTCATATCAAAACTGAAAATTGAATGTAAAAGTATACAGGTTTCAAAATAAATGTCAGAAGTAGCAGGAAGATGCTTTAGTCATTTCGAGATTTTACCAGCTACATTATTTTTGCTTTTTCTTGACGGCAGACTTTTTCAACTCCAGTCCGCATTTTCGAACATGTTCCACAACAACTATGTCACATGTAAAGATTGGATTCAGGCTTGAACTTGCAAGGATGGATTGAAGACGATAAAGAATGAGAAATTATGTTATTTATAAGATTTACAGTCAGTTTTCCAGACCTGAGAAAGAGGATGGTTTGTTTCAGTGGATGAACTAAGGGGTTGCAAAAGGGACGGTATAAGATAAATAAGGACTTTTTTTAAAAACTGTGAATCATGCAAAGCTTCTCTCGTCGAGTCCTTGAATTAATATCTCGACCTGGAAGTGAACAAAACACTTTTAAAGCATTTGTTGCACACATGCTTATTTCCTGTTGGCATCATCAAAGCTTTCTTTCCAACATCTATTTCTCTAAACCGTGGCCCTATTTTTGTTTTTAATCACGCCACTGTCATGTAAGTTTTTCTGACAGAAGCCTGCTGCGGTTCCTGTACTTCAGCGTCTCTCTGTTTCCTCATCAGTCGTGTGTTTTCCTCCCCAGAACCAGAAGCCTACCTCGGAGGAGATCCTGCTGATGGCGGAGCAGCTCAACATGGAGAAGGAGGTGATTCGTGTTTGGTTCTGCAACCGCCGGCAGAAAGAGAAACGCATCAACCCCTCCAGCAGCACCACCCCTCCCCTGCCCAGCCAGACCTCGCCTGTTGTGACGCACAAAGCCCCCTGCTACAGCCCGCACATGGTACAGTCCGCCACCAACACACTAACCTTTTACTACTTTAACACCCCGTCGTGTGATTCCAGACGTCGGCCTGATATTTGTTTCACAGTCGGATGGAAGTGTTTCCTGATTCCTCTCTCTCTGTCTGCAGATATCGAGTCAGGGTCTGTCCCAGGTCACCACCAGCCTCAGCACAACAGGTGAGCTGTAATTACTGTTTGTGCCCGTGTAGAGTCTCGTCAATAAATTATTAAAGGTTAGAGCAGTGCACCTCGATTGTGCTTTGGAACCCAAAGGTCGGTCACAGGAAGATTAAACTGGTCCCGGCATTATTTGGAAGAAGTTGATATTTCTGTTTTGTCGCTGATTTGATGAAACACTGAAGAATCATCACTTTAAAAAATGATTTCTGTGAGAGAAAGACTGAAATAGAAAACAATGATGTTTTGTTGACAACACCACGGAAGCCCTGGTCCCATCTTGAGTTGTTTACCTCCGTGAGTCATGACTCGTCCTCATGATTTATAGACCTCGGCTACAGCGTGAGCCGTCCCAGGCTTCACAGATATGACAGATGACCTGACAGGTAACAAACACAGCTGGAAATTTATTGGCCCGTTGAGCCGAGGCTAATACTTTCCAGTCACAAACTTCTCTCCTGTCTGAAGTTGAATGGAGTTAAAGAAGGCACTCAGACAGCACAGGATCCTGACTGCTGATGAAGAGGAGTGTTGACGAAGTGTTTATGTAGCTGTAAGTCTTGTGAATAGTGACAACAAACCTGCTACATGGAATCAACTTCATCCTTCTTGTCTTCCTCTCAGGCGCCAGTTCGTCGCCCTCAGCGTCCTGCCCCATGACTCCAGTCAGTTCGGCTGCCATTTCTTCTTCTGTGACTCCGCCTCCTCATAGCACAGCCAGCCCAGCTCCTCCCAGCCTCGGGACGCCCGGCCTCAGCACTGGGTGAGTGTCATTAAGGGTGGGGATTGGTAGGGCTATTTTCAGGGCCAATACCCATTATTGGCACCCAAGAAAGATTCATAACCGATGTTTTGAACCAATACACATTAGAGATTACATATTGCTTGCAGAAGGGTATGCCTCTTTAATAAGCATAGCTGAATATGTTTAATAACAACAGGATATCGTCAGAGTATCACAAGACGCTCTCTTCCGTTCACTGTGAGATCGATGTATTGAGATTGATCAAGTTGTTTTTGGTACTTCTTTCGCTCTTCTTTGTTTCATTTATCTTTTACTGTTCTGTCATTTTTATTGCCCACTAAGGCCCATATTTTAAACTATTATTAATCACCATTATCTAGACACTATTTCTGGCTAATCTGTAGCTGCCTCATAACTTAGCTGCTAGCCGTTAGCCACTGTGAACATAGCAATGGCTGTGCTTTTTGTTCAGTTTGTTCAGAAAGACTCGTATTTTGGTTAGAGTAGACTGTTAAAGGTTCTTACTTGAGAAAGATGTTATGGTATTTGAGATAGCATTAGTCACAAGCTAATAGACACCTATTAGACAAAACCTTAGCTTAGCACCTGCAACTTCATCTTGAAAACACAGCTCTGCTCTGTGAATGTGCTCGTCTGTCTCTCTGTGTAAACAATAGCTTTCAGTGTTGATTAGCTGTTGTTAAGATTTAGCTGTGATTGGGACTTTGATCGACACCACAGAGTGGCTGCATTTAATTTATTTAATTGCTAATAGGTTGATAAAAATAACTTTATTGCTTCTCAGAAAAATGCTAAATATGGCCCTCAATAATCAATCGATTCCTAACTAAGTGTTTATGTTTGAAGCAGCACATTAACATTTTGCTACCTGCGTTACATTTGGTTGTTGAATTCGAGGCTACTTTATGCACATCAGGGGCCTTCATTCCGCACTAGCTGCTTCTGGACACTTCTGAAAAACGTTTAAACTAACTGACCTAAATTGTTTCTGTTCACTTGATGAACTTTTTTCGTTATATAAGCAAAAACTTTGAAACATGCTGCCATTTGTCCAATCAGATGCAGCTTGTGTGTTTACATTTGTTGTCTGATTGTCTGTCATCTATCGTAATACTGACTAGTTTTACACCCATCAAGCATCCAACGCTGTTACGAAACTAAAAACTGCCCTTTGGACATGCATCATTACTTATTCAAGTTGGATGAGTGTGCCATTGAATAAATTAGTCAGTCGACTTAAATTAACTACAGACTTAAATTTCAGCATCCCATATATTGAGATTACTTTTTGTTCTCCATTTGATAGGACTTAACATGGCAAAACAAACAAGTCCTCTCTTTTGCCTCTGGGAACTTGTATTTAGCATTTTTTATTTTTTTTCTCATTTTATAGACAAAGAAATTAATAAAAATGCGTTAACATATGGACTGATGATAAAAAGAGTTATGCGTAGCTTAAAATCGGTTTAAAAAGTCATCTACTTTTCTGTGCTGACTGAAAGCATGAATATAAAACAAGCTACAAACATTTACACGTTTCTTATTTATCATCCAGCTCATCATCTGGATTTGAGACATTTTTGTATTTTTTTTTTTTAAAGAATGAGTCATGCATTCTTACCTCTGAAGGTGCATCCTCCATGAGAATTTGTGGTATTCAGACGTTAGACCGCCGGCGTACCAGTTTAGCTGCGGTTGTACATGCTCACACACATCAGGAGATGTAAATAATCCGCCATAAGGAGTTTTGACACAAACAGAAATGATGAATTCTGGGTAAAAAAGACAAGACGAGAGACAGCAGCCTTCAGATCTGCGTTGCTGATAAGTATGTTGAATTTTTGGCATTTAACCTGCTACATGTTTCTCTACATGTGCGAATGTTTGTGTGTGTGTGTGTGTGTGTGTGTGTGTGTGTTGGTGTGTGTTGGTGTGTATTTCCGGTCCATCCACATTTCAGGAACACAATGATGGGAGTAAGCACAGGGATGAACCAGGCCCTCATTGGCGGCAATCCCCTGGCTACCATGCAAGGTGTGTGTGCATGAGTGCATGTGTGTGCTGCTGCATGCGGACCGTTGCCTCCGGCCCGGCCAGGCCTCATGAGCCTCCATTTCTAAAGACCACTTCCCCATTTCACCCTTCATCCATTCTGTCCAAAATGAATTTCCTTGCAAAGCCTCGGATGACCGTCGCCAACAGCAAGCCCTGCACACTCCTCCTCCTCCTCGGCACAAACTTTTTGAATCGCTCAGTATGGTGAAAGATTCAATTTGATTCTCATACAATAGCCCGCCATTATCACAAAGTGACAAGAGCCCCTTATGGCAAAGCTTAGGAGGCCGAGTCAGCTTACAGTAAACAGTTGAACAGGCACAATCCCCCACCTCTCAATATATCAAGAGCTGTTGGCTAAATAACTAGTTTTCACTCAAAATTCCTCTTTTTTGAAAGAGACGATCTGCTGCCAAATCAATTAAGCATCACAAATAAGCTCAGCCCTGAATCCGTCACGTGCCGCATCTCCCTATAGCGCCAATTCAGACCTTCCCCTTTCTTCTCGCGCTCTCTCCGGCATCATTCAGGGCCGGCGTCCTCCGGGCCATGTGCTGATGAGAAGGATACAGTCTGTTACGGAAACTGCAGCTCTGGCACCGTCGGCTCTGATGGAGTCGCGGGCTGAAGGAGGGAAGAAAGGGGAGCCTCGCTGAAAGAGGGGCTGAAATGAAGTGTTGATGTGAAAAGGATTTCAGATCTGGTTCCCTCTGGGGCCACACATGCTATGAATGTTTACACTCACGGTGCTGTAATGGATAAAAGTGTTTACTGTTACACTGGAGTGCAGAAGTTGGCAGGCGTCGCCGTCTGTTACAGCTGCTCGGACTGACAGACGGCTTATTCTGCCAAGTTTGCTGCAGTAATTTTGCAGAAGCACATTTTCATTGTTGGAATGTCACTTCATTGTCGTGTGATATAATAAACTATATCCTATAGTATCTAAAATAGACCTCTAATTGTTTATCTGTTAAGAGGGTGCAGCCTGCTGACAGAAATACTTTATTGAGCCCTGAGGGGAAATCACTTGTGTTAAAGTTGCTGCCATTCAAAGTCAAGAAATATAAACAGTAAAAAATATATAGATAAACATATACTAAAAAAATATATATACATAAGTAGAAACAGTAGTAGCAAAGATGTAGAATGAAAGCAAAGAGTGTAACATGCAGTGTAATAAGTGGTGTGTTATTGCACACAGATACATAATTATTGCACCACGTTGTTGCACATTATTAACACAGAAGTGAACTGAGAAATTCCCGAGCTGTTGGCCTGTGAGTCCAGTCTGTTGAGAGTCTGACCCTCTGAGGAAGGAGTTGTACACTTTGATTACCAAAGGCAGGACTGATTTCCTGTGGCGCTCCGTGGTGCATCTTGGTGGGACAAGTCTGTCGATCCTAAATGTAGTTTTTGTGCAGACGTTCCAGAGCCGAGACAGAAATGTTCACGCTTTTCATCCCTCTTCATGCATGTGCATGTAAACTTCATCTTCATTCTTTGCTCTCATTTGTGTCCTTGAATTTCAATCTTGAATATTTATCTCCCTTAAATTTAAACATTTTTATTCCTAGCAAGTCAGTTCACAGAAATTGCACAAAATTAAATATATTTTCGTACTTACTGCTAATGATATTTATCCATGGAGATGGTTTTGGTTTCACCTGCAGCTGTTGAGAAAACGTTCTGCCTCCACTAAGGCTGAAAAACGAATTGATGTCAAATCAAAGTCATAATTTCAAACAATGCAATTAGCAAACTGCAAAGGCTGCAATTTAAGACAAGCATTGTTCATTGTGTCTGACGCAGGATTTTAGCTGTTGTCGATGTTTTTATAAATTCATGCCGACCGCCTCGCTTATGGTGCAGTGATGCTTCAGCATGTTTTAAATCAGTGACACAGTGAATATGGAACTGCACTGTCAAAAAAATATACCTATACTTTTTTTTCCCCTTTTTGTACAATTTTACAGATTTCCGCAATTGTGTGAAATCACAGATGATAACCAGTAAAAAGAAAAAAACATAAACAACTAATGTCCACATCAAAAATCAGTATTTTTACAAACATTAATTGATTCTTTTACATTTTACTGTAAAATGACTCTTTTTACTGTTTAAATCAACTAAAAATGTAAAAAATTATTTTACTGATATTTGTTATTTTTCAGTTTGTAAACGTTAAAGTATTCCATAGTTTTTATATTTTCTGGCACTTTGATGTCAGATTTTCACAGTTTCATAATGTTTTTATGTTTTTCTTGTGGTGTGAACCAACGCTTGTCACAAATCTGTCAGAAAATCACAATAAGCCGTCAGCCTCAACCTCTAGTCTGTTTTACAATTTTCAAATTAAGGAAGTTACTGAATTTTGTTGTGATTTTTATGAACTGATCCTTTGGTCATTTGCACTTAAGCCAATATATAGACCTTTTTTTTTTTTTTTTTAAACCAATTTGTGTGTAGTTTTCTCACTGCCGTCTTTCCTCATCATCTTCACCTCCAACATCCAGGAATGAAAAGTTTTCCCTGTTGCTAATGTGTCGGATCGGACTTCTTTTTCTTACTTCTTGCCTTTTTCTACTGTTCATTCTTCTTTTATTTCTTCAACATTCTCCATCTCTGCCTATACGTCTTCTATTCTTCTGCCACCACGTCTACGTTTGTCCTGTGCTCCCCTTTGCTCTTTTCTTCTGCCTCTCTTCACTTCTTTCATTTTTATCTTGTGTTAATCACGTTTTCACCTTTCCTCCCTCCTCCCCCTCCGCCCCTCCCAGCCCTGGCAGCCAGCAGTGGTCAGCTGCCCATCTCCAGCCTGGATGGGGCGGCGGGTCACATGCTTCTGGGTGGACCCGGGGGTCCCGCCTCCCTCCGCCCGTCTCTCTTCCTCAACCGCCCCACCCTCCTCCCCATGGTGACCGGCTCCATGGCGACCGGCTCCACGCCTGCCATGGGACTGGTCAGCAGCGTTTGCGGCCCAAGGCCCTCCTTTTCCCAATCTCCGCCCGCCGGCACCAGCAGCCTCATGAGCCCAACCTCGTGCCCAGAGGAGTCCGCATCTCCTTGTTCAAGTCCCGCCTCCTTCTGTTCCTTCAGCGAAGCCTCGCCGCCGCCCCTGGGAGGGGCCATGGCCGAGTGATCCCCGACTGACAGCCAAAGCATCCCGTTTTTCGGAGGACGAGGAGGAGGAAGAGGAGTGAGCAGAGCATTAAAGGAGCTTTAAAAATCTAAATTTACAACCTCGCCTTTCAACCAAAGCCATCTCTCTGTCTGATCCATCTCTGATTTCGCCTGCTCTCAGAAAGTCTCCCCGCTGAAGTCTTCTGAAGCCAAAAATATACACAGACGGATGAGGGGAGGAAGCAAAGAGAGAGGCGGGATGGAGAGGATAGAGAGAACTGCAGAACGAAGGGGGGAAATTTGAAACCAAATAATGATCTACAGCTGGAGAGGTGGCACTGAGGAGTGTTTTTCGCTTGGCATCGGGAAATGAACACCGAGCTTTTTTTAAACGGCTGGAGAGAAAAAAAAAAAAAACTCAATGAGGGCAGGGATGAGAACTGAAACTGTGTGTGAGAAATGGGAGGCAAAGAAAAGACTTGTTTAACAAGCCCGGAAGGTGACGTGGTCGCAGCCAAATTTTAAAGAGAAAAAAAGAAAATATGCTCAAAGAGAAACACACACTTACGAAGATGTAAACCAAAATCTCCAAATACCAAAAACTGAAAACCAAAAAAAGACAAAAAAACAACAAACGGAGAGAAAAGCTTTAGTTCAAAAAGACATTCTGATCTGTCCAGGATCAGTTTAGTACTTCATTCTACATCATGCCAAAACATTCTCCATTTCACTCAGACTTTCTTTTTTTGTCCCTAGAGCATCTATTTTTCTATTATTTTGTATTCATCGCTCTTTGTGGTACAACAGTTTAATGATTTACAGCTGATCCCACATGCAGGATATCTACCTACCTCTCTCTTTGCAGCTTTACAGTGAGTCAACCTTACATTACAACAGATAGCGTTTGTTTTATCGACCCTGCAGTAGCAGATGGGTGGGGTTTGCTACAATAATTACTGTAGTGTCAGGTACGATGTCAGTTTATACACACTGTAGGACAAAAAACAGCTTTAAAAAGTTGTCTGGTATCAGAAAATCCTGCTCTGTAGCAAAGCCCACCCTTCTGACACGAAAACAGATAGAACTTAGTACAAATTTTGGGGAGTTTAGTTTGATAGATCCACAGTGAATTCTTGGGGTTTTCTACATCTTAGTTTTCTTTCTTACTGTCGTCATCATCATCATCATCATTGTCGGTGTCATCATCATTTTGAACCAAAGTAAACCCACTGAACAGTATTCATACTGCCTACAAAGAGGATACCACAGGTAGATGTGGACAAACCATCACGGGATTGTTTTTTTTTTTTGTTTTTTTTTCATCATTATTTGCCTTCTTTTGATTTATTATCGCCTCCATATCATCGTGTCATCTTCCAGACTGCTCATCTACCACCAGACAGTCACTCTTGGATACCAAAGCATCGCCTCTGGCAGCGTTGTCTCTGGATTCGCCCGGGAGACGAGTGTCCAGACAAAAAAAACCTCAGCAGTGTCAAAGGGAAAACACACACACACACACACACACACTCACACATACAAGAAAGACCAAAACCAAAAAAAAAAAAAAAGAACAAAAGAAAGAGGTGAAGCACCGACGTTCCCCTTACTGC